GGGGGGGGGGGGGAGACAGAGAAGGGATAAAACATTAAATTTCACAAAGCAATGTGAGTGTGTGTGTTTTTTCCACCTTTTATTGCTTTTAGTCAAAGTAGCCGTCGAATACATCCAGCTCGGGGTCGGTGTCGTAGGTGACCGACGCGGGATCCGAGAGCACTCCGAGGTCGACGAGAGCCTGGTCGAAGTCGTCCGGGAGGAAGACGATGCCCACGTTAAGGAGGATGTACTCCATCAGGAAGGCATAGTACAGGATCAGCACGTTCACAAAAAACAATCCCACGTAAAACATATAGGGCAGCTCATCCAACAGCGACTCAACCGAATCGAGGTCAGCATAAATGGTCATAGGCTTCTCTCAAGGTGGCAGCGGGTGGCACATCAAAACGGCGGCGGATTCGTCTGGCTGCCGCGCCGACATTTGTATTTCTCGGGCGTTCGCTTCTGCCTCAGGGCGGAGACTGCTTTCTTTTCCCTCACCCTTTTTTTTGTTCTCTTTTGGTTTTGTTGACACAGCGTTATCGCGCTTCCCGCACCTTGATTTAAGCGGAGCCAGGCGCTGGGCCCTGCATCGCCTCGATTCACCGCGCCCCTCCCCCCACCCAACTACCTCCTCTTCCCGCCTCTTTCACGGCTTCGACATGGGATGCTCCTCCTTCCCAAACCACGGGGAGAAAAAAAATTGCGACCGTCCCGCCGCGCACCGCCCCCTCCCGCCGCGCACCGCCCCCTCCCGCGCCCGGCTTGTCGTGAGTGGTCAGGAGCCTTGCCCATCACATGACGGCACAGCCCTGATCCCGCCCTTTTACGCAGACACCGCCCCTCCAACCGGGCCCCTTGCTTGAATGGCTGGACGCGCTGTCCATCACGTGACGGCGCGCCCTTAACCCGCCCACTCGTGCATGCGGCTGCGCCTACCAACCGCCCACCTTGCTGTGTGGCTCATCCCGACGTCGATCATATGCCGGCAAGCCCTTACCCCGCACACTCCGGCGGGCAGACACCACCCCCAACGGCGCCCATCGCGTGACGGCACTGCCGTCGTCCCGCCCACAGGCTCCCACACTGAAGGCACCTCTTTCCTCCGCGTGAGGAGAGCCTGGCTCCTTGCTAAATGAGTAATCGCGTTGTCAATCAACGACGGCAGAGCCTTCGCTCCGCCCTTTCCCCATCCCCGGACATCAGAAGGTGCGTCAGAAGTTGCTGGAAAAGCTCAGCAGGTCTGGCAGCATCTGTGAAGAAAAACTGAGGAAGGGTCACTGGACCCGCAAAGATTTTCCTCACAGATGCTAGAAGAGCTGCTGAGCTTTTCCAACAACTTCTATTTTTGTTCCTGATTTACACCACCCAGTTCTTTCGGTTTTTATCTCATTCACGCCGGTACCGGCAGTGATCTCCTGTGACTGGTTAGGCGCGCCGCCAATCAATGGACGTTTCCCCACCCACAAGCGTGCTCTGAACCGGCCTACACCACATGCGCTTCCCATATTGAATGGCTTGTGTCGACGTCCATCAATGACGACACAGTCATGTACAACGTCCCTGCCAATCCTCGGATCGACCGCCCACATAGCTACCGCCTACTCCGCGCCTTCTTATATCTCTTTCTATGATTGGGTAGGCCTGCTGTCAATCAACAGCTATTGTCCTGCCCATGCACGTACGTACACACTTGCCACACAAACCTTTGTTGAATGGCTAGTCTCGTTGTCAATCTGCCCGACGCAAAACCTTTATCCCGCCTATCGGCACCGCCCATCCCGCGGTTTCGACATGTTGAATGGCTAGTTCATCCGTCACTCAAACGACGACACCGCCGTCTCCCCACCCCACCCCTCAGGGTACAGCTTGTCTGGTGCTGGGATGGTTTACAGGCCAATCGCAGCATTTTCGCCTGAGTTAGACGTCATCGCCTACCGCAGCTCCACAGGACCTCAAACAAAAAATGTATTTCAAAATAACATCAATCGCCACCTCACGTTAATTGATAAGGTCCTTCCCATGATCGTCAGGTGATGGCTAAACCGTGACTGCGTGAGGTGGAGGAATAAGAAAAGTGAAAAATCCGTCCGTTCGCAAGGATCTCTGGGAGTTGTAGTCATTGCTCTACAGCGACTCCATTAAGTTGCCCTTTTCCGACCTGGAAAACGTACTCCAACCCCCAGCATCCCCCACACACCGGAGCGTTACTGCGTCTACTCTCCGCTTCCGCCAGTATGTTGGTGATAGGTTTGAATGTCACTGGCATATTACTGATGTCCCGCAAATAGTATGCAGGAAAGAAGTGTCTAGAAGTGATGTTTGGCCGTTCGAGAAGCTGGGTTGGCGGGAGCTCCGGGAAGTCCCCTCGAAACATTCATTCGTTGGAGCATCTGAAGTGAGTGTTTGTGTGAAAACTGTCACCAGAGAAATCCCCAGCAGGAGCTGTGTTACTGACAGGATAGAGTAATATATCTGTAATGGACGAGGCCTTCGGGTCCAGGCCTTTTACCACAAGGACATAGTAAATGTTTACTTTACTCTTGCAATGGCCTTCCTACTTGTACCCTTCCCTTTTTACCTCCAAATTAAGTTCAAAACACTCATCGTTTATGAGGCACCTAGACGTGCACTAGGGCGACATGCTTTTATTTAATTGATATACTGCACAAAAGTTTTTGGAGACGTAGTTATGGAAATGGGAGGTGGTGGTGGCGTGACAGTGGATTGAAAAGGGCTGAATTTTGTTTTAATACAATGCTTTAAGTCCCAGTCATCATCAGTAAGTTGTTTTCGCAATTGATTTAAGAGTAAACAGCATCTTGAACTCTTATGATATCTTCATGGGTTATATGTGATGGAAACATTTCTGATGTTAAACACCTGCCATAATAGGAAGTAAGCTATGAACCAGCAAATCTTTAGGGAAATTCACTACTTTCATTGCAGTATCACACACTATCTTTTGTGAAAGCAGATATTCAAGTTTTTATTTTGAGCTCACTTTAAATTTGAATAACATTTATGATGAATGATTAGATCCAGTTTCACTTATACAGTGAAAGTGACACTTCTGTTGGCATGTGCTGAGTTCTTAAAAGATCTATTTTCAGTTGTGTTAACTGCTAAGACATACATTTAATTAGCAAAATCATGCAGTGAAAAGTATTAAACTAAAGGTGGTTTTACATTCTCCTGTTTTAAAATTTCAATGCATTACTTGAATTTCCCTGTCTTTAGTTTTAAATGGTTTCAAATTATTGTGTGTTAGGCCTAAGTTAAATGATGAGTTCTCTGAATGCAAATAATTGTTTGCTGTCCAAGAATAGGTTAGCCATTTGCAATCATTGCAGTGAATGAAACATAATCTAAGTAAGTGTGGTTTGCCCACTGCTGCAGTACTACAGATTTATTGATACAATCTATCATAGGAATGTAAAACATATTGCGTGCTTCACTGCTGAAAGATACAGGAGCTATGGTGTTTCTCTTTTATCTGCTACTGTAGAAAACCTTGTTTGGACATGAGTAACTTTTGCAGCTAACAATGGCTTTCCTTCCTGCCTCTGCAAGTTTAAGTATAAAATTTATCCTTGCCATTTTCCATTTCTTTATTTATATGTTGTCTGTTTGTAACATCATTTATAAATGTGGGTGCCAAGTTCTACATGTGTGCTGATGACATCTACCTCAGCCTCTCCACCACTCTAATTACCACTCTAATTTCACTGTGGTGTCAGACTGCTTGTCTGCTGAAATTGTCTGTGGTTTAATTTCGAAATAAGCCGTTTTCTCTGGTCACTACCAAAACCTGTGCCCTTGTTAACAATTTTATTGCTTTCCCTGGACAGTCAATTGGAAACTAAATTTGTTTTTCATGTTTTTATCATGTTAATTCATGCTACTGTCATTGACTTCTTTCCTTGAAAGTCAAGAGTGACCAGACAGTGTTTTTTCCCTGAAAACCTACAATAGTTAATGGTTTCCAATAGATTAGTGCTTTTAGTTTTTTTATTATTGAGTTCCAATCTCAGCATTTACCACAGTAGGATTCGAACCCATGTCCCCAGATGATAAGTCTGTCTCCCTCTAGGTTTTGTTTTGCCTCTACCACCCTTTCAGATCTTCACATTTTGACTCTCCTCTGTCAATTATTCTAAATCTCTCCAGCCAGGCACAAAACCAGGAAGTAAAGGAAAATAAGTCCTCCTTATCCATTCTCTCTAGGCCCTTGCATTTTATACACTTCAATTAAGCCTCTCTTAAGCCTGCCCTGTTCCTAACCTATCCAATTTTTCCTCTTGGATAAAATTCTCTATTCCTGACATTTTTTTTTAAAATGTGTTTTTTTTTCATGGAATGTGGGCATTGCTGACAAGACTAGCATTTGTTGCCCATCCCCACTTGTTCCCTTTGAACTGAGTAATTTTTCTAGGCAATTCAAAGGGCAGGTATGAGTCAAACATATTGCAACGAATCTGAAGTTATATGTCAGCTAGACCTGATAGATTTCCTTCACCACAGAACATTAGTGAACCTGATGCGTTCTCAGGAAGACTTGATAGTTTCATGGTCTCTGTTATTGCGATTGTTCTTCAAATCTCGACCTTCTGGCAGGTGGGATTTTAACCATTGTTCCAATAGGTTCTGAAATGCTTGTCCAGTGACATTACCGCCATCCCACCAGTGCCGTGGAAATTTCAGATTAACCCTTTGTCATGTGGTCACTTCCTGTAATGTGATGACCAGAAACCTGTGCAGACATCTAGCTGAGATCTAAGCAAAATTTCTGATTCCATCCCAGTCCGTGCTCATTTAGGCCAAACTTGATGGTGCACAACTTCAGAGGCTTACTCGATACTTTATTGTATCGTGTTTATCATAATCTCACTTATACCAATAAAAGGACCTTTGCATTTCTTACATCCATAATTCTTAATTATTTCACAAAGCAAACTATTATTCTGTAGTAACTGATAGGAAAGTTTATTCAGAATTTAACTAGTTCAGCAGTTTTGTAGTCATTTTTAAAGTAGTGTAGGTGCCCATGTTTTAGGTGTATAGAGAAGTTTCCACTGCAGTGCTTTCATCACAGTCCTGAAAGGGAATTGTTTCTTGGACAGAGTAAGTTCGTGCTACCTTTCAGAAGATCTGTTAAACCAAGGCCCTATCTGCTTACTTGGATAGATGTAATCTTGGTGGATGTATTCTGAACAAAAGGAGAGTTACCCCCAGTAACCTGGCTATTGTTTATCCCTCGCTCCACGTAATGGTAACAGATTATCTGGTCCCTACCAGGTTGCTGCTTGCTATCTGCAAGCTGCTGGCTGCATTCCTACATTACAGCAATGGTTGTCCTTCAAAAAAGTTCTTAATTGCCCGTAGAGTGCTTTCAGGTCCAGTAATATAAATACATGGACTTCAATACAATACAATACAATATAAGCAGTGTCTACTCTGGAGAGGGGGATGTGTGTGCTCATTTGGGTAGGTGGCAAGTGTGTGATTCAGAGTAATGGCAGTGGTGTGGTTTTGATTCCCATTCTGACTGAGGTAGAGCTGGAACCTGCTTCCTTCCTTGTTTCAGAGTGGAAGGCAATTGCTAAGCACTGCTGACCAAAAAAATGTCATGAAAACAGTTCAGAATGAAGTGTCAGCGATGAGCCAATGGCTTGCCTTTTGGGCAGGTCACTCGTGAATGGATGTACTCAGTGCTGTTCTACAAAAGTGGACAACGCCTTTCCCTTGAAAGGAAACATCCTTGTTAAAAGCTGGCTATTGAACACTAAAAATTCCCCTTAAATTACAGGTTTGTAATTGGTAGATGTGGAGGGAGTAGTCTTGTAAATGGGATCAAGAAGAATGGCTATCGCTTTTTTTGAGATGTTAATGCGAATTCAGAAGCAATTTTTGTACATGTTAATTTTTTTTTTTGCAGTTACACCAGCAGCAATTTTAAACAAGTTGGTTAGTAGCTCATTGTTCTCAGAACAGAGAATAATTTATCAATTCTTTCCTTTAGTAAATTCTGTTCTGCTCCAAATGCAAGGCTAAATTCAGTAATGTTTTACTATTGGCTATCCCATTTCAACAAAAAGTTAGTGAAATTTAGTTTTGAATGCTGATCAAGCAGCATTTTTCTAGCAAAACTAATACAGTCTGAATAGAGTTGACTGTTTAAGGAGGAATTCAATTCTGCTCTACATAAGTAGAGTTGATAATGCAGAAGTTTTCAGTGTGGAAATATTTTGCAGTCAGTGGGTCGAATGATGCGCGTATAATTAAGCGCTTGCACAATTATAGTTTGCACTTCTGAGTATTTGAAGGAGTGGAACTTATTCTGTAACAGCACCTTTATCAATGAGAGTAGAATTGCATTCTGACCTGCAGCAGCTGTGTGTTTTGCATGAGTTGCAGTTTGGGTACCATGCTGCCTTTTTAATTTGATGCCAAACATTATTTCCGTTTCTTGAATGTTCTTTGGCCTCAACAATACCACAATACATTTCCAAAGTAACGTCTTGTGCATAACATTATCAGCTTTGAGTCTGTGATATGATTGCAGATCAGAGTGTTAAAATGTAATAATTTTCCTTCATTAAGTTGTATTCATTCTGTGATCTGAACTGGAAATTCCCTGTTGCTGCCAGTAAGTAGATGAGTAAGCAGACATGTTGTAGCTAGGCATCTATATGTATCATGTTAATTGTCCTTTCTTCCCAGAGTTAGGAAACTAATGTGCTGTTTTAACACTTCCTGCAGAAGTGATGCTAACTAAGAAGTTCAAGCTATTCATTTCTGCTTAAGAAAATATATGTATTATACTGTTAACTACTTGGTTTCCATCTCGTGGTGCTGGTGGATATTTGTTGGCTACAATGTGACAACTTGATTGGAGTACTCAATATGACTGCGTGTTGCCCAGTAATTGGGATTTATCATTTCTTATCTTTCAAAACAGGTTGAGATATGTGCTGAAATGCTGATGAACAGCCCTGTACCTGTTTTTTAAAAAAAAAAAATTTTATAACAGTCATGAAGTTTTGCAAATATGCAGGATTGAGCAGGCTTTAAACACTGCAATTAACTTGGTAAATACTATAACAAATAGCCCCTGGGTTTACAGTAGTAAACTGCAAAACTGTTGGCATTCTGTTGTCAACCTGTTATTTATCCTATGTTCCTTGAAAGGATTGGCTGTTCAAGTTCTCCCAGAGTTCAGTCTCTTAGCAAATTACCACTTTTGCACTTACTTTCAGGCATTTTTTTAAATAGTGAAACTATTACAACTTGCTAATAAGCTATAACTGAGTCTTTGAACAATATATTAGCTTCATAATTACAAGTACACCACCTTACTTGTGTTGAAAAACTATCGGATTTCTTTATTTTAATAAAATATTTGAGCTTAACCTAATCATAAACGCATTTAGCTATCTTAAACATTTAAGAGCACTGAGTCCCTTCATTTGTAATTTAATTTCCTCGTTTGTGGTCTCTGAGAATGCTCCATGACAATTGACAACTTATCTTGTCTGCTACTGCACATCGAGGTATCCCTCTTACTTAGTGCCGGATTTTAAACTCCCATCAGGAGAAGGGCGTTGGCTCTTTATGGAATTTCTCTGAGGTTACTGGAAAATGCTATAGCTTTAATGCTTTCTGTATCTGAATCATATAATTGCCTGCATGGCTTCTAATTTTGATTTGGCTAGAAAAATAGATTAATGTAAAACCCAGATTAGGTTGAAGGTGAGGTTGAAGAGAAACTGAGTGACCTTCAGACTTCAGTGTTCAGCAGATCAGTGTTGAAGCAGCAGTGAGATACACTTGCTAATAACTACTTCTGGATTTTCATGTTGCTCCTGCATGTGAGCAGTCTCCAGAAAGTTAATGTCAGGTTTTGTGGAATTGTGAGGGTGAATTCTGACATTTCTGCCTTGGTTTACCCCTGCAAAGTTTGGTCCTATTTTGCAATGTATACTGTAGTCTATACTAGTTTAATTGTAGCTTGAAAATATGGCTAAATCCAATGTATTTCAATTTAAACTATTATAATTAAGGTCTTTCACAGCAATCAGTTATAAAATTGAGAACCTGAGTCATGTGGATATGAGCAGGTGTTTTGCAGTTTTGTAGTTGATCGTATTCTAATTCATATTCTAAATGTTAATATTTCCTTAGGTACATGTACCATGTCTTAACAAAGAACACAACTGTGACAGATAGTAATCGTAACCTGCTGGTGGAGACCATTCGTTCTATTACAGAAATCCTCATTTGGGGAGATCAAAATGACAGCTCTGTTTTTGAGTAAGTTATCATTCATGTTCATGTTTATTTTTGAGTAAGAAGATCATGAAACAAAATCTGTATTAATCCATTTTATCCTCTGAGAAATGTACTCTGTGATTTCAGTGCAATTATTCACAACTAAGCTATTGCTTAAATAGAGGGGACAGCACGGTGGCTCAGTGGTTAGCACTGCTGCCTCACAGCATTAGGGGCCTGAGTTCGATTTCCCCCTTGGGCAACTGTGTGGAGTTTGCACATTCTCCCCATGTCTGCGTGGGTTTCCTCCCACAGTCCAACGATGTGCAGGCTAGGTGGATTGGCCATGCTAAATTGTCCATAGTGTTCAGGGATGTGTAGATTAGGTGGGTTTGGGGAATGGGTCTGGGTGGGATTCTCTGAAGGTTGGTGTGGACTTGTTGGGCTGAAGGCCCTGTTTCCACACTGTAGAGATTCTATGGAAAAAGACTTGAAAATCTGCTTGTGCAAGTCTTACTGATGAGCAGGCAGCATGTTCACAAGGTTTAGACTCTCCTTAGATTCTTAACATTTTTTAATCACTGAGTTTGGATTAATGTTTTGCAGACCTGTTCCACCTGTGAATCTACATTGATGCTTTAATTCTAGGTGTCACCCGAGAGCAAGAGGTTCTTGGTGGTGGCAATTTCAAACACCTTGAGTAAGCAGGCCCAATATTTTTCAGGCTCTGGTGGCTGCGTTTGGGCCTCGGAGTTTTTAGTTATGCTACACCCACTGGCACAAACAGATTGTCACGCACTTTAAAATGGGCCTCTGAGTTAATCTAAGACAGACAACTGAGTTCTCTGCTGCGGAAACACCGTTGCCAAATCAGACCTTGGGACCCCAATTTCTTACTCTATGATCCGATCTACTGATTGGAACTCCTGACTTAGAGACTGCAAGTTTTCAAAATCACAGCTTTCTCATTCTTTTTGATTCCTTTAATGGAAAGACTAGAACTCCTGTGCATGAGGCTGAGGGTAAAGGTGTAATAAGGAAGGCTATGAGAAAACATGAGGGAAGGATGGCAGGCTGTGCTAAAACAAGTAGAAAGTATTCTTCAAACATAGTAATAATAAAAGAATAGTAAAGGATAGAGTGGGGCTCATAAGGAACAAGCAGGGTAAGCCACTCACTGAAGCAAAGAATATGGCAGAGGTACAAAATGACTGTTTTGCTTCTGTATTTACCAAATTAGAAGATGGTGACACTGACCTAGTTGAAATGTAGATGTTGAGCAACTGAGCAGGATAGTGATAGCACCACATTTTTATCTTAAAACATTGGCGGCTCTCCAGGTAGAGAAGCCCACAGGTCTGGATAGGAAGCATCCTAGATTGCTGAGGGGTAAGGGAGCAAATTATAGATCCATTGACAGAAACTTTCCAGGCCCCTCTGAACACCGGGTTAGTCCCAGGGAACTTGGGGGATTGCAAATATGGTACTGCTGTTTAAGAAAGGGGCAAAGGATGACCCGTGAAACTACAGACCTGTCAGCTTGACCTCAATACTGGGAAAACTGATGCAGGCCATAATGCGGGATAAGGTAAATATACACTTGGAGAAAAATAGGTTGATACTAAACAGCCAGTGCTGGCTGGACATGTCTGACAAATTTAGTTGAGCTCTTTGACAAGATGATGCAGGATAGATGTATATGTGGACTTTCGGAAAGCATTTGATTCAGTGCTGCACGGTGGGTTGGTTAGCAAATTAGAAATGTTTGGGATTGATGGATCCTTGGCAGCATGGATTAGAAGTTGGCTAAAAGGTAGGAAAAAGAATAGATATAGATGGAATAACATAGTGTGGAGCTGGAGGAACACAGCAGGCCAGGCAGCGTTAGAGGAGCAAGTGGTGTTCCCAGGGATAAGTTTTGAGACTTTTGCTTTTTCTGATTTATGTAAACAATTTGGAGATGAATGTTGAGGGCAAAATCTCTAAATTTGCAAATGATACTAAACTAGGGGTGCAGGTACATAATTCCCAGACATAATGGTTTAAAAAGGCATTTGGCACACTTGCCTTTATTACTCAGTCCTTTGAGTATAGGATTTGGGATGTTATGTTGAGGTTGAACAGGACAATGGTGATGCCTCTTCTGGAATACTGTGACCAGTTCTGGTCGCCGATTTATGGGAAGGATATTGTCAAACTGGAGAGGGTTCAGAAGAGATTTACCAGAATGTTGCCGGATATGGAAGATGTGAGTTATAAGGAAAGGCTGGGACTTTTTTCACTGGAGTGTAGGAGGTTGAGGGGCTACCTGATAGAAGTTTATAAACTTCTGAAAATAACTAATAGAGTTGATGGTAGTTGTCTTTTCCCTGAGATAGGGAATTTCGAGACTAGGGGGCACATTGTTAAGGTGAGAGGAGAGATTTAAAAAAAAAAAATTGAGGCAACTATTTTGCACAGGGTGGTTTGCATGTGGAATGAACTTCCTGATGAAGTGGTGGATGTGGGTACAATTACAATGTTTGAAACATTCGGATGGATATACGAATGGGAAAGGTTTGGAGGAATATGGGCCAGGACCGGGCAGGTGGGAGTAGTTTTGTTTGGGATTATGTTCATCATGGACTGGTTGGACTGAAGGGTCCTGTTTCTGTGCTGTATGTCTTTATGACTCTATGATCTGAGTGACTTCAGAGGGACATTGGCAAGTTGGCCAAATGGACAGACACCTGGCAGATGAATTTCAATGCAGAGGAATTGAAAGAAAGGTGCTGCATTGTGGTAAGGCAAATCAGGCCAGGACTTAAACACTTAATGGTAAGGTCCTGAGGAGCATTGCTGAACAAAGAGACCTTGGAGTGCAGGTTCATCTTTCCTTGAAAGAGTAGTCATAGGTAGACAGGATAGTGAAGGCGGCATTTGGTATGCTTACCTTTCTTGGTCAGTGCATCGAGTATGGGAGTTGGGAAGTCATGTTGCAGCTGTACAGGACATTGGTTAGGCCACTTTTGGAATACTGCATTCAATTGTGATTTCCCTGCTATGGCAAAAATGTTGTGAAACTTGAAAGGATTCAGAAAAGGCTTACAAGGACGTTGCCAGCACTGGAAGGTTTAAGCTTTCAGGAGAGGCTGAATAGTCTGGGGCTATTTTCCCTGGTGCATCGGAGGCTGAGGGATGACCTTCTAGAAGTTTATAAAATCTTGAGAGGCATGGATATGTTGAATAGTCAATGTCTTTTCCCCAGGGTAAGAGAGTTGAAAACTAGAAGGCATAAATTTAAGGTGAGAGGGAAAAGGTTTAAAAAGGACCTAAGGGACAACTTTTTCACACAGAGGGCGATGCATGTATGGAATGAACTGCCAAAGGAAGTGGTGGAGGCTGGTACAATTACAGCATTTAAAAGGCATCTGGATGGGGATATGAATAGGAAGGGTTTAGAGGGTTTCAGTCCAAATACTGGAAAATGGGACTAGATTAATTTGGGATATCTGGTCATCATGGACAAGTTAGACTGAAGGGACGGTTTCCGTGCTGTTCTTCTCTGACTCTTTAACTCTATTGCATTTTGATAGAAGAAACAGTGACAATACAGGGTTAATGGTGCAGATTTGAGGGGAGTACAAGAGCAGAGCAACCTTAGCATTCATGTGCATGATTCCCTGAAGGTGGTCAGGCAAGTTGAAATAGTTGGTAAGACTTATAGGATCCTTGGATTTATAAATAGAGGCATAGAGTATAACAGCTAGGAGGTACTGCTGCACTTCGACAGATCATCAGTCAGACCATAGTTGGAGTATTGTGTTCAGTTCTGGGTGCGTTTTAAGCACGGATGTTAAAGCTCTGGAGCGAGTTTAAAAGAAGGTTTACTAGAATGATACCAAGAATTAGGGATTTTAGATACAAGAAAAGATTGGTGAAATTGGAGCAGAGAAGACTAAGAGGTGAGTTTATTGAAATTATGAACGATTTTGACAGGGTAAAGAAGGATCTTCTCTTTCCACTAGTTGGTATGTCAGTAACTAGGGGTCTCAATTTCAAGATTGTCAGCAAGAGAGCTAGGAGTGAGATGAGGGGAAACTTCCTTACTCAGTTGTTAGGATTTAGAATGTGTTACCTGGGGGAGTGGTGGAGGTGGATTCCATACAAGATTTGAACAGAGAGCTGGGTAACAATTTGAAAGTAATTAATTTAAAGGATTACAGAGATAGGGCTGGAAAATGGGACTAGCTGGGCATCTCTTTTGTGAGCCGGTACAGACATGATGGGTTGAATGGCTCCTTCTGTACTGTAAAATTCTGTGATTTTATGAAATTTCTGGGCAGAAACTGGTGGCCCTTGATGTGGTTACAATACTGTGCTGCTAACCTGTTGCACCTCGTGAATCATACCCATAGAATATTGTATTTTTGATTGATCCTATTGGTTCTATGAAGATGAGAGTCTCTTAGGTTTTGACATCAGATTATCAAGCGCTTGCTAATAATTTGACCTAGTTTTATTGAACACCCTGGTAAAGTTTTGAATGGATACATAGTTCCCTCTGCCCTGAGAAGAAAAATACGTTGAGTTCAGCGTGCTACCACCATGTGTTCTATCAGTCAATTACTATATTCATACCTGACTAGTTTTGCTTTATCCAGAACCATAAAGCCAGCTTCAGTCAGAAGTGCTGTGTGGATGATACATTTTGACCACTTCTTGAAGTCACACCATCCTATAAGTTAGCCGTGGGCAATTCATGTCACTCTACGTGATGTCAAGAAACGTCTGAGCACACTGGATGCAAACAACCGCTGTGGTCATTCACAGCATCCTGCCTGTAGTGCTGAACATTTACACACCAAAACTTGCTGTGCCACTTGCCTAGCTGTTGTACTATACCTGGAACACTAGCATCTAGCTATTTTCTAAGTAATCTTTCAGAGATGTTATGACGCCCCTTCAGAGCAGGTGGGACATGAATTCAGGCCTCCTGGCCCAGAGATAGGGACATTACCATTAATCTACAAGAGCTCCAAAACTAGCATGCTCCCAACAAAGTGGAAAATTGCCCAGCTGTGTCCTGGACACACAAAAGCAGGACCAATCCAATTTTCCCAATTCCCAGCCTGTAAATCAATTCTCGATCATCAGCAAAGCAATGACAGGTGTAATTTACTCATCTGTTATCTGATGCTCTATTTGGGTTCAGTTGGAATTACTTATCTCCAGATGTCTTTCCAGCCTTGCTCTAAACCTCGATAAAAGAGCTGACTTCCAGGCAGGAGACGTGTGATTAACTGATTGCTTTTCATTTCAATGTAGCATTTGATCGAGTGTTGCATCAAGAAGTCTTATTAAATCTGGTCACTGAGAATAGATGGAAAACTCTTCATAGACCTGAGCAGGTGGATTGGCCATGCTAAATTGCCCATACTGTACAGGGATGGGCGGGTTAGGTGGATTAGCCAGGCTTACAGGGATGGGGTGTCGGGGGGGAGGGTCTGGGGTCTCGATGGGATGCTCTCTTCGGACTTGATCGGCTGAATGGCCTGCTTCCACACGTTGGAGGGATTCTATGATCTTTGTACAAAGAAAGGTGACCTGGTTGTTTGAGTTCAGTCATCTTAGCACTAGGATGTTGCTGCAGGATTTCTTCAGAGCATTGTCCTAGGTCCAGCTGTCATCAGTTGCTCCCAACCAAATGTTTAGGAGGAAGGTGCTCATTGGTGGTTGTGATGTTCAATTGCATTCATAACTCCTTTTATTCACTGAAGTGGTCATGCCCACAACAAGAAAGCTGGGCAACATTCAGTCTTGGGCTGATGAGTAACATTTGTAAACACTATTTACGATATTCAAAATAAAATGAAAACAACCCACTCTGTTCCCTTGACTTTCAATAGCATTACCCTCATCTAATACCTTGCCATTGTTGTTCTGGGAGCCACAAAGGACTGAAACTGAATTGGACTAATTATGACTGCATGAGCAAGCCACAGGTTAAATAATCTGTTGCGAGTACCTTGCCTGTAGACTCCCCACAACCTTTATAGAACCTACAAGGCCGAAGTCAGGAGTGTAATGGAATACATTCTGCTGTTCCAATAACTTCAAGGAAACTCAATACCATGACAAAGCAGCTCACTTGACTGGCACCCAATCAACCATTATGAATCATTTATTCTTCTACCATCAGTAATTCTGCTTGTACCATGATGACAGATGAGGAAGCTCCATTATTAGTTCGGCTTGACATTGAAGATAAGGTATTGGATATGTTGCCAATCTTTAAAATTGGCCAGGCCTCCCAACTGGGTGCGACACATTCAAAGATAGTGAAGAAAGTTAGAGTGGGAATGACAGCAATCAACCTTTTCAATTTTCCCCAGATTCAGGGGAGGCGCTAGAGTGCCGGAGAATTTCAACTGTAACAGTCTTGTTCAAAAAACTAAGGGTAAGTCTAGCAATTGCAGACCAGTCAATTTAGCTTCAGTGATGGACAACTTTCCTGGAAAAAAAATGTGGGATAGAATTAGATATTCATGGATTTCTGAAAGGCATTTGATACAGTGCCCCACAACAGACTTGAGAAAATTTGTAGTTTATGGCATAAATGGGACCCCAGATGGGGAGAACTTTTGTAAATAAACGGTAATACTTGGAAATGAATGTATTGGTTGTATTGACCTCCATTTTGAAGATGAGTCAGATGTATTATTTGCCAGTCTTGCAGGTTTTTCTTTCTGGGCAATAGAAACATGGAATGCAAAATTAGTTGAGGGGTTGAAAACAAAGTGTAATGGTTAATTGATATTTTTGTTCTGGAGGAAGGTTTGTATTGGAGCTCCACATCCCTCAGTTCTGGGACCCTTGCTTTTCCTAATTATGTATTAATCTCCTGGATCTTGATGTGCAGGAAATAATTTGTAGATATGCTGATGATGCAATGTATAATTCCCCAAGTTTTGTGAGGAGGGTAGTGTATACTACAAAGGAAATTGAAAAGTAAGTGAAGTGGGCAGATCGGTGAAAGATTAAATTCAATATGAAGAAGTGTAAAGTGAGACATTTTAGTGGAAAGAACATAATATAAAGGATGTATTCCTAAAGAGTGTGCAGGAATGGAGACCTTGGTGTATCTGTGCATAAATCGGTGCAATGGGTTAATAAAATGTTTTCTTGGCTGTATTAACAGGAATGGAGTACAGGAGCAGAGGAAGGTATGCTCAACTTAGATAAAACAGCAGCTGGTCTTCAGCTAGAGTATTGTGTATCATTCAGGATGTCCCTCCTTAGCAAGATTATAAACACATTGCAGAAAGTTCAGTAAAGGTTTATGGAAATGGTTCCAAGGATGAGACACTTCAGTTATGAGGAAAGATTGGACAAGTTGGAATTGTTCTTGAAAAGAAGAATGCTAAGAGGTGATTTTGGTAGAAAATATCAAAATCGTGTGGGGACTAAACACAGTAAATAGGGAGAAACTGTTCCCTCACTTAAAAGGGTCACAAATAAGAGGATTCCGATTGAAGGTAATTTGCGAAAGAAGCAAATGTCATTTTTTTTTAAAAAAAAAAGCTTTTCAGAGTGAGTAGTTAGTCTTGATTCCACTCCTGAGATGTGTGGTGGAGGTACAATTGAGGCATTTAAGAAGGGATTAGATGATTATTAAAACAGAACAATATTCTGGATTACGGGGAAAGACAGGACGATGGCACTAAATTCACTCTGATCCACTGCTGACATGGTAGGTCAAACAGCCTCTCTCTGCACTATAACAATTCTGTGTAATTCTGTGCACACTGATAGCACTGGGTACAATCTACAGGTTGTACTGCAACAACTAGCTGAGGCTCCTTCAACAACACTTTTCAAAGCTGCAGCCTCTACCACCTAGAAGGACAAAGACAGCACACTCCTGGCAACATGACCACCTGCAAGTTCCCTTCCAAGCAACTTGCTCAGATTTAGCAATTTCCTTCTTCATTGCTAGATTAAAATCCTGGAAGTTCCTTCATAACAGTAAATCTAGAAGGTGGTTCATCACTTTGCAAAGGCAACTGGGATTGAATAATAACTGTTGGTCTAGTGTGATATCTGCATTTATGAATGAATGGGAGAAGCGGTGTGGGATGAAGTTGCTCGTTAGAGAAATATTGTTCCAGTTTGTATACGAAACTATCTGTTCACGAACAACCACCCTTTTCTATGCAAGTGCTTTAGATGATGTGTGCATTGGGGTAATCAGAGGCACGCACAGACGCTGCAGCTTTGACAAGTATAACATGCCATTTCTACTGCAGTGGAGATTCCAGTTTTTTTCACTTGTCAGCTGGGTGCTAAAATGCCTAGCAGTACACCATTGACAGGTTAACATTGTTCTGCAGTGACTCCTAATTTTTAATCATCACCAGAATATTAGCTTGCATTTATATAGTGCCCTTTAATTGACCAGATTTGAAAAATAATTTAAGACATTAGATGCCTTGACTGAACCATTGTGGGTGAATAGGGCCTTCTATAGCAGAGTGTGGTTGAGGTGTACATTGTGAAGGGTGGGAGACTGATTATGGGGTGCATTGGAATAGTTATACATGAAGGTGACAAGTGCATTGGTGATATTTTCAGCAGTAGATGTGTCAGGGTAGGGGTAGAATCAGACTGTGTAACAGAAGTCAAAGTGGCCATTCTTAATAATGGAGAAAGTATGGATTGGGAGCTCAGCTCAAGGATGATTGAAAAAGAGGTAACTTGTGAGCATTCTAGTTCAGTTAGAAATGGTGCTGGGAAGGTAGGTGAACTTGGTAACATGGGGAAAAAAAAGTCTGTGCTGAAGGAAAGGACTTCAGTCTTCTCAGTTTTTAATATCTCACCTATGAATGTCTGACAATCCATCTATCATGGCTGAACAAGTTGGTGGAGAAGTGAATCGAAGTGTCTTCATTATGCACATAGGAAGTGATCTATGTAACTTTGAATTATGTTGTCAAAGGGCTACATCTTGATTAATAAGAGGGAATCAATGATGGATTATTGAGGATGTCCTATGATAAAATAATGGTGCAGTGCGGGAAGGGAATCAGATGCTGGTGATATTCTGAACATGATCTGATAACTAAGAATTGAACCAGGCTATGCAGAGCCACTAAGAAGGACGTTATAATATGGATATTGGAGGAGGATTGTGTGATCAATTGGGTGAGAAGCTGTGGAGGAGATGGTACATTGTGGTCACAGTCACAGTTGGATGTAATTTGTGATTTTGGTTAGGACTGTTATTATGGTGTTAGGGATGGAAACCTGATTAGAAAGATTCAAACATGGCTTTTGGGAAAATGGGGATGGATTTGGGAAGTGGTATTATGTTCAAAAATTTGGAAAGGATAAGTTTGTAAGGAAAGCAGGTGGCCTTTTGCGAAGTGGGGGTGACAACTCCATTTTGAAAGAATGGAAGATGGGACAGAAGAAGAGACATGGGTTCAGGTCCAGGTCATGGAATGTTTGGCGTTGTGGGAGTAATGAGAAAAGAGTAAAGATGGATGGTTGCAATCTTATTGCAAGGTGTTTATGGACTTGTCAATATTGGAGATGAAGTGGCAATTGGGATGGCAGGATGGGATTTAGGTGGTGGTATAAAGAATTTCTCTGGGTTGGACTGGGAGTGAAATTGGACTTGGACTGATAACTTGCCCCTGTATAAAATAGCTAATTACATTGTACTTGAATGCTAATAAAAACAAATTTTGTTTCAGCTTTTTCTTGGAGAAAAACATGTTTGTTTTCTTCTTAAATATCTTGCGCCAGAGATCCGGACGCTATGTTTGTGTACAGCTGCTTCAGACCATCAATATCCTATTTGAAAATATTAGCCATGAGACCTCTTTGTGTAAGTATATATTCTTTAGTAATTTAAAGATATTGCATTTGAAGTTGTTCTCTCTTCATCTCTGGAGTTGATAGCACCTCAAATGGATGCCCTAGATGTAGACTAAACCATTTCGTAGACTATTTTACTCAATGCATAAAAAGCTTAGTAAAGAAGGACAACTACTTTTGTTCCATTCATGAAACTTGTCACTTTCTTATTGTTTGACCACTAAGCTTAGTCCTGAAGGGCTACTCTGTTGCCGGGGACTGCTTATACAAGGTGGCTGTTGTTTTTTTTTATATAAATCACTGCTTGGATTCCCTTCATTTTGTCAATGATGGGTCAGACAATACGATCACACTGGCGGATCTCAGTATTGTTGGTCAGTGCCGGGCTCTTCCCTCTTCTGCTTCTGTTTCTTTCTGTGCTCTGCTACTTCTGTTTCTTTTTGGCTGGTAAATGGACGATATTGTGGTAGGGAAAGAAGCCACCTATGGCTACAGGTTGCAAATGGAATTGTGGAAAAGGGGGAGAAAAAGCCCTCTGCTGTATTCCCATCTCCCATCCCCCTCCTGCCCCCTCCATTTGCAAATAATGAGCTGTGAGGAGGATGCTGAGTTGTTGCAGTGTGATTTGGCCAGGCTGAGTAGGTGGGCAAATGCATGACAGATGCAGTATAATGTGCATAAATGTAAAGTTATCCACTTCGGTAGTGAAAATAGGAAGGCAGATTATTACTTGGATGGCTCTAAATTGAGAGAGGGGAATGTTCAATGTTGTCATGCACCAGCCGCTGAAAGTAAGCACGCAGGTGCAGCAGGCATTAAAGAAAACCAACTGTATGGAGGCCTTCATAGTGAGACAATTTAAAGGAGTAAAGGAACAAGGATGTCTTGCTGCAACCATAGAGTTCATTGGTGATGCCACATCTGGAATATTGTGAAGAAAAATCGGAGTTAACGTTTTGGATCTGCCAGACCTGCTGAGTTTTTCCAGCAACTTCTGTTTTAGTTTCTGATTCACAGCAGTTCTTTCGGTCTTTATCTGGAATATTGTGTTCGGTTTTTTTTTTGTATTTTCGAGGATGGGTGTTCTAGCCAAAGATGGAGTGTAGCAAAGGTTTACCAAATTGTTTCCTGGCATGGCAAGAATGAGGAGGGATTGAGTCAGTTGGGATTGTGTTTGCTGGAGTTTAGACAAATGAGAAGGGGTGGGGGAATCTCATAGAAACCTATAAAGTTCTAATTGGACTGGTCAAGTTAGATGAAGGAAGGATGTTCCTGATGGTGGCGGAGTCCAGAGCTAGAGGAGCATAGTATGAGGATAAAGGATCAACCTCTTAGGACTGAGATGAGGAGAAAGTTCTTCACTCAGAGCAGTGAGCCTGTGGTGTTTGGTGCCACAAAGTCGTTCAGGTCAAAACATTGTGTTTTCAAGGAGGTGGCGGTTATAACTCATGTGGCTAAGGGAATCGGGGGTATGCAGAGGTTGGGATTAGGGTATTGCGCTCGATGATCAGCCATGATCATATTGAGCAGGCTTGAGTGGTTGAATTGTCTATAACTGCTCCTGTCTTTTATGTTACTACATAAGTACTTTACGCCTTTGTCTTGCTACTGCACATTTCCCTCACAACCCCTTGGCCCTATCACTGCCTCAGTCTGTTCTCCTCTGAGTGACTCAGTTGCTCCCATATCTTTTACTTCCATCGCTTAGCTCATCTGGGCCCACTCTCTTACCCAAAACCTGCAAAGAGTGTCAAAAAACTGAGGGCCCTTGTTCTCAACTGAGAAATTTCTTCTTCCCCGCCTCCTTGGGTTTTCCATCAAATGAGTGGTTTGTTTTTAAGAATGTGCCTTTCACATTATAAATAATCAAACTAGAACCAAGAAATAATCTGCCTTTGTCTGTTCCACCTTATCTCTTCTTTTTTTTCTGTTGTGTAGTTTGTCTATCTCAGACATGGATTAGTACTGACCTCTCAATGACCATAGATTATATCAGTTGGCTTTAAAACGGAAGGTTTTTTGAAATAAAGTTAAATGAAGAAAGCATTCATTTCCTGTCTTAATAAATAAAAACAGAAAATGCTGGAAAAGCACATCAAGTCAGGTTGGCTTTTCATCAGAACACATTTTCTTTACCTTTCTCTTCAGTCTCGCCTTCCTGTTCTTTCTAATCTGTCTGTGCCTCTGCCTCCATGTCTCCTTGGCATTTTTGAACTTTAATATTTCTTAATTATAGAATAGAATAAATTGCACTTTTGAAATCTGTGCTCCATACCACCCTGTGGAAGAGTTGGTTGGAGTCTGGTGATTTTCATCAGGAAGGGAAAGTCTGGATAAAATTTCTGTTATTTAAATGTCGACATGATGATATTGTTGGAGAACAGAGATCCTTGGCAGTAAATCAAGTATTTAGATTTTTTTTTAAATGGAAGAACATTTTGAAACATACATGTTCCTGCAATAGTGTCTGTCCTTATTTTAAAATGCTTTCTGGAAAAAAATGTTTGTGTTGATCAAACTTGGATTTCCTTAAAAGAACTGTAGGAAGGTGGTGTGCTGAGTACAAACTCACTTTGAGAAAGTTGTGTAGTTTGACAGGAGAATCTCCTGAGATGTGTTATATCCGAGCAGCAATGTGTTTTCTGCTTTACGTTGATGACCTTTCAACCTTGCCCCTTTCCATGGTGACTTAATTACCAAAATCTTTGTTATTTTTAAATATAATGTGTTAACAGAAAAAAACTCAAAAGATGTGATGGATATATCATATTTTAATGCAGTTGCTTATTTACATTTAAATCTTCATGTTTTCTTTCTAAGTTGAGCCAGAATGTTTTGTGCTGTGCTGCCATGAGAGACAGACATAAAAACATGTGACTAAGGTGCAGGTGTTGGCCATTCAGTCTCTCTGCTGTGTAAAACATGGCTGATCTGATTGTAATACCACCTCTCATCTACTCCTGGTAATCTCTCATCCTCTTGCTTACCAGGAATCTAGTCAACTCTCATTTAAAAATACTCAAACTCTGCACCTACCCCTTTTTGAAGTGAGTTCCAAAGACTCTAGCAATGAGTTTGCCTCATTTCTGTTTTGCACAAGTAACCCCTTTTATCTTTTAAATGGTGACCCCTAATTCTAGATTGTTCTATGAGATGAAACCTCCTCTCCACTTTCCTTTTGTGAGGCCCATCAAATCTTGTATGCTTCCACCTTGTCCCCTCTTACAAATTTAAGCAGATACTAGCTTGGGTTTCCTCATAGGACAGCACGCTCATTCCACTAAGTTGACCATGAAACCTTTTGTACTTCCATTACACTATACCCCATTTTAAATAAGGAGACAAATACTACACACTATTCTCATGATGTGGTCTTAATAGTGTCTTGTATAACTTGAGCCTAACGTCCCTACTTTTGCGTTCAGTTCCTCTTGCGATTAAAAGAATCATCGCTAGCTCTCCTAATTACTGGCTGTATCCATGTACTAGCCTTATGATTTGTGCACTAGGGCACCTAGATCTGTCTTGCATGTCTGAACTCTCACCGCTTGGGTAATGTGCCTTTTTGTTCTTTCTGTCAAAAAGGACACTGTTACATTTTCACAATTGATTATACTGCATATCACAGATCTTTGCTCACTCACTTAACCTATCTATTCCTTTTTGTATCCTCTGAATATTCTCTTTTCTACCTATTTTGGTGCATCAGCAAATCTAACAACAGTACCTTTGGTACCTTTATCAAAGAAATATGTATAAATTCCAAGAAGTTGAAGCCCCAGTATAATCCCTGTGGCACACCAATAGTAAATCTTGCCAATTAGAAACAAACCCACTTATGCCTAATGTTTGCAGTTAACCACCCAATCAGCAATCCCTGCCAGTATGTTACACTTTTCATCATGGGCCATTATTTTCAACAATAACTTTTTGATGTGCTCATTTAGTGAATGACTTCTGGAAATCTAAATACAGTACATCCTCTAGTTTCCCTTTATCCAGAGGATTCTAGAGAACTCTAATACATTGGTTAAATGATTCCCCTTTCTCAAAACTGTTGATCTGCCTGGTTACCTTGGACTTAATTAATTGTTCTAACAGCTTAACGTCTGTCATGGGAAGATAACTGGCCTGCACTTTCCTGCTTGTTGTCTCCCTCTATTTCTTTTTGACTAAAGTTATTATATTGGAACTTAGTGAATGTAACAGAACCTTCCCCAAATTTATGGAATCTGGGAAAATGAATTCCAGTGTGTGAACTTTCTTATTAGCAATTTCATTTTAAAGCTGTAGGATGAAGACCATCGGGATGTGGTTAATCTGTAACTCCAACAACTGGCTCATTACCACTTCTTTTGGTGATTTGTAATTGTTTCAAATTCTTCCTTCCTCCTTTTCTTAATTTACTGCTATTTCTGGGTGTTACTTGTATCCTCTATAATGAAAACCAGGGCAAAATTCTTGATCTGCCATCTCATTTTCTATTATTAATTCTCCAGACTCACTTTCTATGAGACCAAATCTCCTTGTCTAATAATTTAAAGAAACTCGTATCATCTGCTGATAGATTTATGCCATTATCTAATTTTGCTTCAATTAAAATTTTAGTCATTCTTTGTTCCTAACACTGTGGCCAATCTTATGAATTGCCACCTGTCTTTGTGCAATTCTGTACCCATTTCCTTAAAGTTTTTAGTTAACCATGAATGATCAGTCCTGTTCTTGGATTTCTTTCCCCCCCCCCTCATTGGAGTGCATATGTTTTGCATATTCTGAAATAGTGCCTTAAATACCTGCCACTGCTTCACTACTAATCTATACCTTCACCTAATTTGCCAGTTTATTTTAGCAAGCTCTGCTTTCGTGCACTCATAGTTGCTCTTTGACCCACTGTTCCCTCATTCTTCTTCCACTCCTACTCCCCAGTGGAATATAAAATTCAATCATTTGTCCTGCTTCCAGGATTTCTATTGGCTGATAAGTCGAGTATTACAAATATTTCACAATGTTATCATTCTTCTACAGATTATCTGTTGTCTAATAACCATGTCAACTCTATCATCGTGCACAAGTTTGACTTCTCTGACGAAGAAATTATGGCATATTACATATCATTCCTGAAGACACTTTCCCTTAAACTTAACAATCACACGGTGCATTTTTTCTACAATGAGGTAAGAGCTAACATTGAATTTTCATTTAAAAACTGATTTCAGCTGTTATAAACACAAATAAAAATTGTTTAAAGTTATTTTCAATGTCGCTTTTACTGTTTTGGCTTATGATGTATATAATGCATGCTAAAAGTATTGCTTATTTCCTAGGGTTGTCCTTATTTAGCTTTTGGTCCCCTTCATCTGTGAAAGAATAAAGTTTAATTATATGTTATTTTCCAAACCTTCCTGATAACTAAAATGATAAGGTTTTTTGATACACAGGACTGACATTTAAACTTTTGTTTAGTTAAAACTATTCTGAAATGTAAGTATGCTCCTTGTATTGCTCAGATTAATAAAGATAGTGTCCTGTTTTGAAGTCTAAAGATAACTGTGAATGGTGTAACTTTATAAATTAGTTGTTAATCATTATGGAATTCTCAAGTAAGGTTCTTGCCATTTTTGTCAGCATTTGAATGGTAATTCTGATTTAAGAACCCAGAACATTACAGCACAGTACAGGCTCTTCGACCCACGATCTGACCTATTATCCTACTAAGATCAAACTACCCTGCATACCCTACATTATACTATCATCCATGTGCCTATCCAAGAGTCGCTAGCATGTCTCTAATGTATCTGACTCCACTACTACTGCCGGCAGTGCATTCCACACTCCCACCACTCACTGTGTAAAGAACCTACCTCTGACATCTCCCCTATACGTTCCTCCAATCACCTTAAAATTATGCCCCCTCATAATAGTCATTTCCATCTTGGGAAAAAGTCTCTGGCTATCCACTCTATCTATGCATGTCATCATCTTGTACACTTCCATCAAGTCACCTCTCATCCTTCTTCGTTCCAATGAGAAAAGCCCTAGCTCCCTCAACCTTTCCTCATAAGACCTGCCCTCCAGTCCAGGTAGCATCTTGGTAAATCTCCTCTGCCCACTCTCTAAAGCTTCCACATCCTTCCTATAATGAGGCAACCAGAAATGAACACAATATTCCAAGTGTGGTCTAACCAGGGTTCTGTAGAGCTGCAGCATAACCTCGCGGCTCTTAAGCTCCATTCCCCTGCCAATGAAAGCCAACACACCATACACCTTCTTTACAACCCTATCATCTTGGGTAGCAACTTTGAGGGATCTATGGACGTGGACCCCAAGATCCCTCTGTTCCTCCACACTGCCAGGAATCCTGCCATTAACCCTGTATTCAGCATTCAAATTCGACCTTCCAAAATGAATCACTTCAAACTTTTCCGGGTTGAATTCCATCTGCCACTTCTTTGCCCAGCTCTGCATCCTGTCAATGTCCCGTTGCAACCTACAACAGCCCTCCACGCTATCCACAACTCCACCAACCTTCGTGTCATCGGCAAACTTACTAACCCACCCTTCTACTTTCTCATCCAAGTCATTTATAAAGATCACAAAGAGCAGAGGTCCCAGAACTGATCCCTGCGGAACACCACTGGTCACCGAGCTCCAGGCTGAATACTTTCCATCTACTACCACCCTCTGTCTTCTATTGGACAGCCAGTTCTGAATCCAGACAGCCGAATTTCCCTGATTCCCATGCCTCCTTACTTTCTGAATGAACCTACCATGGGGAACCTTACCAAGGTTCTCTGCTATCTTTCAAACAAATCTTCCTTTCTAGATGCAGAATTTGCTCGGAGGGGTCTGGCATTACTTCTCTTTATCCAGTCAGGAAGACTGTGGTTTGAGACAACCCATGCTATAACTCAATGTTGGTCCTCTTTCCTTACTTGCGTGAAAGTGACCTGCTTGGCTACTCCCTAATGGTCTGGCTAGAATTAGGAAATCATGCAGTAGGCCTGTGTGTAAAACGTGGTGATGTTACTGTGTTGCCTTGTGTGGCACAGTATGTCTACTCGACAGTCCCAAACCCAGTTGCTGTTTCCTTTGTTTCAAGTAGCCATTCTTTTTTGAAAACTGATATTTGAGTCAATTTTCAGGAATTAAAAATAGAAATATAAATCAGTCATTAATTTAAAAAAAAATCTTCTGCTCTTAGTAAAAGGAATGGTTAAAGGATGGTGTAGCTAAATAGTGTAAAAGGTTGAATTGTTTTCAACATAAAATCCCTACAGGGGTGTGTGGAAGCAGGCCATTCGGCCCATTAAGTATGAAACAAATTGTCCAAGCAGAAATCACCTGAAACTGTTTTTAAAAATAAAATATATTATCAATTTCACATGTGGCAATACCATTGTCGGATACATTTAGAGATGTGTAAGCGACTCTTGGATAGGCACATGGATGATAGTATAATGTAGGGTATGCAGGGTAGTTTGATCTTAGTAGATAATAGGTCAGCACAACATCATGGGCCGAAGGGCCTGTACTGTTCTATGTTCTATTGTTGTAAATCTCCAAATATATATGCTGCTAATCAGAGCTAAATGATTGATATGTAGGTTTTTGTTGTAAAATGAATTTCGTCTTTGTGTACAGTATACTGGTTGTTCTGTATCTTAGCTCCTTAAAAATACCCACACAACCAAATACATTTTCAAATCTCAAGCGCTGTTTTATTAGTGCAGAAAATTTGAGGGAGTTGGGATGAATACTTGAAATGTTGTTCTGTTTCCTCTCTGCCCCCTTCCTTTTGGAAAATATTTAACTTTTGTTTGGTACCCAATTTCTTTTGCTTTCCCCTTCCTTGATGATTCACCTTCTAGCGTCATAGAGCCATACAGCACAGAAACAGACCCTTCAGTCCAACCAGTCCATGCCGAACATAATCCCAAACTAAACTAGTCCCACAAGCCTGCTCCTGGCCCATATCTCTCCAAACCTTTCCTATTCATGTACTTGTCCAAACGTCTTTTAAAAATTGTAATTGAGCCCATATTTACCACTTCCTTAGGAAGTTCATTCCACATGCGAACTATCCTGTGTAAAAAAAATGCCCCTCGTTTTGTTTTAAATCTCCCTTTCTCACCTTAAAAAAAAAAAGTGCCCCCTAGTCTTGAAATCCCCCATGCTAGGGGAAAGCACCTACCATTAACCCTATCTACACCCTTCATTATTTTATAAACTTTTATAAGGTCGCCTCTCAACCTCCTATGCTCCACGGTAAAAAGTCTCATCCTATCCAGCCTTTCTTTATAACTCAAATCTACCATACATGGCAACATCCTGAGATCTCCAGCTTGACAATACATCCTTCCTGTAACTGGGCGACCAGAACTGGACACAGTATACCAGAAGAGGCCTCACCAATATCCTGTACAATCTCAACATGACTTCCCAACTCCGATCTTGAGAGAGAATGAAAATTGGTTTCTGTGTGTTCCCTGGCATGGCAGTTGATACACCAATGTGCTGCCTTATTTCACTTTTATTATGATGAGGTGGGCACTGTTTACCAACTCATGCATAAAACTTTCAAAAGCCAGAAGCTTGGGTTTAATCCCATTATAACTGAGACGTATTAGATTAAATGGACTCAGTCCCACATGCAATGTATTGATTCATTGTTGTATGAGATGTGATGTGTTTCTTAAAAAAAAAAAAAATTTGTTCAAAATATCATTTACCTTTCCTTTGCTCCCTTCCTTTGAGGAAAGTAGTAGTTCATGCTGAATTATGGTCCACAATGTTTTTAGTTTTACTGGTACTTCACCCAAGCAACTGCTTTTATACCTGTGAACCAAGATTAATTGGTTATATTTAAGTTGAAGAAACCCTTGTACAATGTTCATACACATTTTCTCCACCAGGGGTCAGTAGTTACCAATCAAACTTGAACAGTTACATTTTTAGCCTGTTAAACCAATAAAATGGTAATTGCAAATGTACCATTACTCTGGCTGACAGGATAGACCCAGAATAGAACCTGCTATTTTAATCTCTGTTGCTCAGCACCATAAAAATGGCATTTACCCACAAAACTATAACAAAACTGACGATGGTGTTTCAAAATTTCTTTAGTGCTTTGTAAAATTTCTTAGCTTTCTGTCGTTGTCCCTGCACCATGCTGCATTTATGATAGAGGATAGGGGGTACTTTGCTTAAAATCCAAAATGGTTGCAAAAACTTAGCAGGTCAGGATGCATCCATAGTAAAAGAGAAATCGACATTCCAGAAATATTTCAGCCCATTTATCAGCATGGGAAGATACTAAAGAAGAAACTTCTTTTACAAAAAAGAACAGAACAAAAGAAATTATAGAATCAGGAGAGGCATAGATAAGCTGAATAGCAAAGGTCTTTTCCCTAGGGTAAGGGAGTTTGAAGCTAGAGGGCATAGGTTTAAGGTGAGAAGTGAAAGATTTAAAAGGGACCTAAGGGGCAATTTTTTCACAGAAGGTGGTGCGTGTACAGAATGAACCGCCAGAGGAAATGGTAGAAGCAGGTACAGTTACAGTATTTAAAAGACATTTGGACAGGTACATGAATAGGAAAGCTTGAGAGAGATATGGGCCAAACATGGGTAAATGGAACTAGTTTAGTTTGGGAAACCTGGTCGTATGGATGAGTTGGACCGAAGGGTCTGTTTCCATCCTATATGAGTCTCTGACAATAAGTGCAATGGCTTTGACGACCAGCTGGTGCTTAAGTGTAGAAGCAATGTTAACAGGAGACACAAGTGGATAGTGGGGGAAAAAAAATGTTTTCACGTAGAGAAAGAAAGCACAAGTCCTGAGAATGGACCTTGGACCTGAAATATTTGTTTTCCTGCAGTTGCTACCTGTTTCCAGCTTCGTCTACTTTTTAAATCTAGTGACCAGAAGAACAAAGACAATGCCATTGGTTGGTTTATTCCCTGGATTTTGTGATTCAGACAAATCGCTTTGCCTGACTTGGCAGCTGTCCACAGTGTTGCTAAGTTTAGAACATCAACATTGTGAAGATACATGTGCAAATTTATATTACGTCAGTGTTCCTTCCCTTGTTGGCAATGAGCATTTTTTTTAAAAAAAATACTATGCATCTCTAATAATGCAACATTTCTAAAGTCAGTTATCATAATTCAGTTGCTGTTGATTACTGTAATATTTCACTGCTGTGATCATCTTTGTTAACACCTCGCATGTCTCTGCCCTTTGTTAGATTATATTCATCTCAATTTTGTATTCTCATTGGATCTTTTTCTATCTGGTATCTATTCTGTCATCTTGTAATTCAGCACTGAAGGCCCATCTGTCACAATCTTTGTATTTAAAGATGCTATCTTGCCCTGCATAATTGTTTCTTTGTTATTTAGTTTTGATCTCTGTCTATTAAGTCAATTCCTAACATCTCATTTGCATAGCACTTTCTTAAGACCCCTATAATGTGAAATATAAAATGAACATAATTCTTTATCAAAAATTACTTTGGAACTTCCTCCAAGAAATATGGCACATATTAACAATTGATCTTTTGAGGTTTTAAAAAAAAGTCGTGCATACATATTCAGTAAGGGAATCAAAAGTTATAGAATAAAGGAAGGAGGATAGATTGGATCGTTCATCAGATCAGTCAGGATCTTATTGAATGGTGGAGGAGACTTGATGAGCTGAGTGGCCTACTTTTGCTCCTATATCTTGTGACCTGATAATTGAAAGGATTTTTAAAATTTAAAAAGTGAATCACTAAGCCATTATTTTTGTTTTCTAATGCCAATCTGTATAATATTGAACTGTGAAATGTATGTGACAACTTCTTGGAAACTTGCCTTTGGAACTTGCAATTAGTTTTAGTCACTATTCAGAATGCGTCTCCTAATTTGCTTATTTTAGTTAATTGTCTCAAAATTTGTCCTTGTAGATTTGAAGTTTAAAAACTCTCTCATTTTCTCCCAAACTTGCAGGACAGTGAATGTTCAAGGGCCTACCTCCAGATCTCTGATAATAATGTTGCACTGTAACGTAATGTTAGGATGTATACGGGTTTGGATTTTGCCTGTTTGTTTGGTTCTGTTACTTTATCCCTCGTACTTTGGGAGAAATGCTTGTTCTGTAATTAACAGGATACTGCAGGTGAAGTTGGGAACTAATTTGTCTACTGCAAGTGGAGCAGTGAGTTAGAGCCCAATCTGTGGCATGCCTGACATTCCCAGCAGTTGCACAGTGCATTTACAAAACTTGAGAAATAGGTAAAACAATTCTAAAGTATAATCCTTGTAAGTAATCCCTAGTTCTCTTACAAGCTCATTTTTATTACTTCCCATATTTCCAGCATACTAATGATTTTGCCCTGTATACGGAGGCCATTAAATTTTTCAACCATCCAGAGAGCATGGTCAGAATTGCTGTCAGGACAATCACCCTTAATGTGTATAAAGGTGAGTACAGTATGTGTGATTATACATATTAATGTCATTAATGAGTGCTCGTAAAGGCTGGCAACCAGTTAAAGCAACAAGCAAGCATGTAATGTTATGAAATATTTTAGCAAATTTTTTTGGCACTAATGAAGATGTTTCCTTTAACCATCCAACCCCTCCCAAAATGTTTGAGTCAGTGGCCTGCTCGTAGTCTGAATGATTTTATCCTTATGATTGAAATAGTTTTCACTTAAAGAAAATTTCTTGTAATTTTGAAACTTTTATCCTATGTTTTTCCCTGGTAATTGAAGTTAAAAATGATTTCTGAAAAAAAATTTCCAAAAAATTGCTTTGCTCTCTTCCGTTCATTGTACCCCTTTCTCTGCAACAGAGCAAAAACCTAAACTTAAGGAATCTTACATATACACTTCAAGATGTTGGGGAGTTGTGTATTTAATTTTCTACCCAGGTTAAATTAGATGTTAAGCATTAAGTTGGGAGGTAAATATACCTTGAATTGTTTTAAGCAATGTAGTGCATACACATTTTGTCAAATGTAAATAAAGCTATCTTTGCGATCTGGAAAGAGGTCCATAGCAAAAGAGTTTCATTTAATCGATGTTAAATTTAAAAGTTGCTCCTAAAGTTCTATTGACCACTTTTAAGCCAGTATTATCTTTTATTGATCTCTGGTTTTGTCTACTGTTTTGTCTTCGTGTTATTGACCCTTGTTGAATTTATTTTTACATAGTGCTGTGTAAACCTGCAGCATTGGTAGCAAATCAGAATTATTTGCTCCCTCATTAGAACAGTTTTATTTGAGAGTATGCTTTAAATGCATCTCCAATCTTGTAGCAGAACAGCACAAAACTGAATTAGTTAACCTGAAATCATGAATGAAGTTTAACAAGTATGCCACATGATAGGGTATATGTTGTTCCCAGCAATTATCTCCCTGAGTGGATAAGCAATTTTCCTTGCTCACTGTTGATATGGAATTTCTGAATTGGAGGACTTGCGTACAAGCTACCTCTGGTTAAGCATGTACAGTTAGAATGCTACTAACCACAAGGTCTTAATTTGTTAATAAATACATTCTTCATAATATTATTTAAAAAATTTAAAATACATGCACATTCAACAAGATTTATTGGTGAAAGAAACCAGAAAAGTTGTAGTTTCAAAGTTTGCAATGGAATTGTTCAAGACAAGTTTATTGCAGAGTTTGTTGCCTACAAAAAACCATTACCAAAATTTGATCATTTTGAAATAATTCTCAGTTTTTTGAATAACATAATTGTAAAACAGTTAGAAAAATAAACAAAAGTATATGTCCTAATGTTTTAATTTGCCTGCGATGGAGAGATACCATTTAGTTTATTCGTGCACAGGAAGAGTGTGATATGCTATCGGCCTTAATGCACTTCCACTTAAGAATCCGAATAAGTGAGTGGCACGTACAAACTGTGAATCCAGTTTGAACTCAGTCCGGGCTGATATAATTTTTAATTCTGAATGAATCTGATTTGAGAATGCCATCACATTGGAAATCAGTCATTCAGAGATGCAAGTAAAATGCCTTTTGGTGAAATTTGGTGATGAGCAAGAAATCTTGACATTCCATCAAATCCCTATTAAACTTGACCTGGAAATTATTGATGCTAGATATTGTTCTACTTTGTAGCACTAATGTTATCTACTTCTTTAAGGACAGCACCCCAAAACTTTTTTCTTTTCTACCACAATAATTGTGTAAAGTTTTGGTGCATTGGAATGTTTCTACATATTAACTAGGATGAGGTTCTCCTCAAAGGCAAGCTGCACATGACTGCTTTTCTTGTATGTATTTTGCTGATCTAGTCTAGTATCACTACAAATTGCCTGTTGTCTCCTAATTCTGTGTGCTTCCTATTTAAACAGGCTATTGGTCTTCTGGATGATGCCATGCTATCTAAGTGCCTTATTAACCATTTTCTGTTTTTTTTTTCCTTTCTTCAATGATGATTCCAATGTACCACACCCCAGTGTCATGTAAGTTGGTTAACTTTATAATCTTTTACCTTTTTTGTATTTCATTATCAATACTTCGTGGTATACAGGCGTTTCTGCTATAACGTGTTTAGATAATGCATACTTCCTACTGTGATTCTTCTATAGCTATTTCCCTATGATGCAATTTTTCTGTAGCCCAAGGTCATGCAAGAATGCAACTATTGTGCTATAAGAGAACTACCTGTATGTACTTTGGAATTAAGTGTAGCTTCTTAAAACTGAAGGATAATATATCTAAAGATTTTATGTTCTGAAGATTACAGGGCAATTAAAACTAGGATGATCTGAAAGTGCTTTTTCCTTTGAAGCTGAAGTAACCGCGAGACTGTTTCTGTGAAAATCTAAGTCACCTTCATTTAGAAACAGACAGTTCTAAAATTCAATGTCCTATAATTGAAGCACAGTGTATACATCTTATTTTTGGCGAGAAGAGCAAAAATACTTAGATTCCAAAATAGTTCTAAAGTTGCCACATGTAGTGGGTGAAACTATGGCTACCTTTTTCCTTTTTACTTTTAGGTAAGTAAAATAGAGGTTATGGCAGCAAACAAGTCTCTAGATAATTCTCCTCCCTTTAGCCTATGCAGCTTTAAATCTTGCTGATTTCGAAAGAAACTGATGGTTACAAGAATGTGATCACTAGAAATAATTTTGAGCTTTTTAATTTGGGAATACGCTTGATTTTAGTCTTTTGAGAATATTTTTCTTGAACTTAAGAGGGTGCTATATTACTTTTTAAAAACATGAGCCTTTAGCATAATATGCAAGCAAACAACTTTTCAAACAAAATACTAATACTCATACCAGAAATAGCTGATCAAATAATAGACAATATAAGCATCAACTACAGTTGAAAGACTTTTAAAATATTTTTTGTTTTGGTTGGATTCCCTTTCAATAAATGTAGGTGCAATCCCTACTGCACAAAAATTTTGTTTTACGTTCTGAAATTAGCAGATGTATTTTCCATTCAGCACTAGGTAAGATTATTCAAATAACTTGTGTTATTTATGGGAAGCTTGAGAAATAGTAGCTACTATCAGCTAACCCAGCACCAAGGGAATCATATTTCCCACCATTGGGATGTAAATGGTGGTGAAATCTGAGTGCTTTATCCAGTAGATCATATGAGACCATCACATTTTCAAGATTATAACTTGGGAAAAGTTCATACACCTAAGGTCGTTGTGTGTGAAGGCTGCGGGTTTGTTGAAAAGTTAACCATTTAATTTAAAATTCTGAAATGTATTAAAATCTAATTTGTACTGTTGGAAGTAAATAATATTTAATTTTAAATTATTTGCAATCGTATAACCATTTCCCAACAGTTTACAGTACAGCAGTGATAACTCCAAGATGCACAAGTGCCTAATAATTCAACCTGTTGCCATCTGACAGATCAATAAATGCATCAAATGAAAATGTATTGCTGATGGCAAAAACCTGCATTTATGCAACACCTTTTAATGTAATGAATTCCAAGCTTCACAAACCAAAATTTGAGCCACATGAGATTTAGACACATGGCCAAAGGCTTGGTCAAAGAGGCAGGTTTTAAGGAGCACCTTAAAAAGGTGAGAGGTGGATTGGTTTAATGAGGGAATTCCATAGTTTTGGGGATGAGGCAACTGAAGGCATAATTGCCAAAAGTGGAGCAATTTAAAATTAAGAATGGTGGCGGAGGTTGTGGAGATGGGGAAGGGCAAGGCCATGAGGGGATTTAAGAACAAAGGTGGGAATTTTAACATCAATGTACTGCTTGATTGGGAGCTAATGTGGGTCAATAAGTGCAAAGATAATAAGTTAACTCTGCATAAATAAGGCCATGGGCAGCAGAGATTTAGATGGCCTTGCATTTACAGGAGGTAAAATGTGAAAGATGGGCAGAATTGTTTTTGAATAGTCAAGTATAGAGATAACAAAAATACAGTGAAGGTTTCAGCATGCGATGAGCTCGGGTGGAGTGACCTTGGACGATGTTGCAGAGATAGTCTTGCTGTTGGTGCAAATACATTTAGAAGTTGACATCAGGATCAACTGTTGTACTAAGGTTATGAAGTATCTGGTTCAGCCTCTGACAATTCTTGCAGACAGGGAGTCAATGCCTAGGAGATGGAGATCTTCATGGAGACTGCAGACCATATTTAATTGAGGAGAATTCTGCGCACCAGTACTAGATGAACAAGTTTAAACAAATGATCTATTAATTAAACAATAGTCGTTTCACAAACCAGCATGCATGTGGTCAAAAACTCCATAGATAACCAAAGAATTTTAAACAAGTCCATTTTGAGTTTTGCGGAACTAAAAAGTGTCAGATTGTTTGTTCTTTTTTTTAGAAACGGGTGCTGTTTGAACTGGGCCAAGTAGATTGGAAGGTAGCAGATCGGACCTAAAGGATATAGCATGATGTAAAATGATGCTTTCTGATTAAATAATTATTACAGCTATTTTAGAACTAATAGTAGCTTGCTCAAGGTGTTGTTAACTGTAGTATTGAGATTTAGTTTCAGTTTTGCTTTCTGTAACCAGAAGCTGTATTTTACTTTTTGTGGACAGTGGATAACCAGCTTATGTTGCACTACATCAGAGACAAAACAGCAGTTCCCTATTTCTCCAATTTAGTTTGGTTCATTGGAAGCCACGTGATTGAGTTGGACAACTGTTTGCAAACTGATGAAGAGTAAGTTTCAAAATGTTTTGTGATACTTGTCAAAGCACACAAGAATTGCTTCCATCTGCATTTTCAAGGCTCTGAATCAACACTTGCATGTATAGCACAATATTTTGAGGATTGAAACTTTGAACGTGTAAGCTGTATTCAAGTCATCATATGCATTTTGGTATCAGCTTGGTATTGCCACTCTTGTTAATTTTGCTTAAACTAATGCAGGGACCAACCTGGGAAAGCGATGGCCTATTATTGCTGGACTATTAATCCAAGTGATGTCCTAGGGATTTGGGTTCGAATCCCACCATGGCAGATGGTGGAATTTGAATTCAATAAAACCCTGGAATTAGAATCTAATGACAACCATGAATCCACTGTCGATTGTTGGAAAAACCCATCTGGTTCACTAATTTCCTTCAGGAAAGCAAACTGCCATCCTTACCTGGTAATGTGGTTGACTCTTAACTGTCCCCTGGGCAATTAGGGATAGGCAATAAATGCTGGCCTAGCCAGCAATAACCACATCTTTTGAATGAATTAAAAAAAAAAGCTAGTAATGCATGTATGAAAGAAATTCATAATGAATAGGACTTGAATGAGTTTTTTTTATTCTTTTAATTTGACAAATTTGAGCATTCTAAAACAACAAAGTTTTTTAGTATGATACAAATTACACAATTTTAGTTTTAAGTCTTAAAATAAAACAAAAGACTGGCCTTTTGCAGCAATGATGTTAAGCCATCAACATTTGCTGAGATTACTCGTCTGAAACTGACTGCAATTTCTGGAGGCTACATGTGCTGTTAAATGTAGAAACAAATCCAGACATTGCTGTCAGTGAATCTGCATGTCTGTAAATAATGCCCTGTTAGAAGTTTCCTCAATTTGCAATTAATTAGAAATCACTGATCTGATTTAAAAAGCTCTTTTACACCAGCTAAATCCTTTGAGAGAGTTCTACCTTGCAGGAAGAGTTGTAATCGGTTTATTAATAGGTAATTAAGTTCATCATTGCTGCAAATCTTTTTGGTTCTGAAAACTAATTTTTGTATTTGAGGAATGTCAAGTTCTCCATTATGATTTGGAAATTGTCTGTCTGCTTTAAGTTTTAAGTTTATTTATTGAATTTTAGATTCTTCCTCAACTTATGTGTGATAGCCAATAATCTTTTAAATTACATCTTATTACATTAAAATGTGGAAAAATCAATGCACATTTTACATAGTCATAGAGATGTACAGCACGGAAGCAGACCCTTTAGTCCAACTCGTCCATGCTCACCAGATATCCTAAATAAATCGAGTCCCATTTACCAGCATTTGGCCCATACCACCTCTCCACCCTTCCTATTGATATACCCATCCAGATGCTTTTTCTATCAGTAAGAATGCTTTAAGATGATTGGCTGCTTATTCATCGATGTTGATGGATGTCTGGAGAACACTTTGACATAGCACCAAATTTACATTAATATTAGTAAAGTGGAAATCCATGCCTCGGAGATTGATTAATATTTGTGGGCAGCTTTCAATGTCAAGAGTGCCATTTGTAACTGGGACCAAAGTTGAATATCATTAATGATTATTAATCCTCTACTAGGGGATGTGATGGCTTGGTGATATTATCATCAGACTATTAATCCAGAAACTCAGCTAATGTTCTGGGGACCAGTGGTGGAGTTTGAATTCAATTTTTTAAAACAAAAACCTGGAATTAAGAATCTACTGATGACCATGAAACCATTGCCAATTGTTGGAAACCCATTTGGTCCTTCAGGGAAGGAAATCTGCCACCTTTACTTGGTCAGGCCTACATGTGGCTCTAGACCCACAGCAAATCTTAACTGTCCTCTGAAATTGCTTTGTAAGCCACTCAGTTCAAAGGCAGCTAGGGTTGGGCAATAAATGGGAGCAGCCCAGTAATGCCCATATCCTATGAGTGAATTTTTGAAAAAAAATCCCCATTGCAGAGAAATCTGTTCCCTTCAGGTGATGCTTTGCAGACAGTTCTCAGGGCTTGGTACTAGCCTGCACACGTTTATTCAGTTATGTCAATGAGAGATGCTGTGCACAACATACAGGTCGCTGCCTGCACTGCTACCTGTTCCTAGTGAAGAATTTTTCCCCCATGTCTTTCATTTGTAAAAACATTCACTTCTGTGCATTAAATATTCAGTTTCTTGATAATTCTTCACTCCTTACTGTCGGCTTGCACCACTCAACTTATTTTTTTGTACTGTACCCGAATTGTTCATGGGGAAAAAGACAGGAAAAGATACTCAATGATCTCGCAATTCCTTTCCTCCATTATTGTGTTTGATGGTTTAAATCACGTATACAAAGTGATTAGATTTGCCCTATTTATTCGGACAGGGAGAATGTTTGTTTGTTTTTCTTTGAAATTTCAGTAGGTTGATGCTAGGTGTTGTAATATCATTGAGATTTCAGCTTGCAAAATGCATTTTGTTTTAGTAATAATTTAACTCTTGTAATGGCAGGCATAGAAATAGAGCCAGATTGAGTGACCTGGTGGCTGAACATTTGGATCACCTGCATTACCTGAATGATATCCTGACCATTAACTGTGAATTCCTGAATGATGTACTAACAGACCATCTATTAAACAGACTTTTTCTGCCATTGTATGTGTATTCGTTGGTGTCTCAAGAACAGGTAAGGTGTCTATATTTTAAAAAAACAGTATAACTTTTTGACAAGACACTATCTGAAAATATTGGATTATTGTAAAACCTCTGGATATTCATTTTGCTTATTTTTTGGTGTGACAGTGAAATTATATATTGAAAAATATACCTGCTAAAATGATTTTAGTGCCTTTTCAAAATAGCCTTGTTAGCCAAGTAAGCCATAATAGCAACAAATATGTAAACCCACCTTAAGCTGTTGTGAGCTGAGAAATAACTTTGTTTTTTGGAGACTAGCAACATTCTTTTAATGGGTAGACATCTTGCAGTCCAAACAATACTGTTGCAGATGTGTGTATCTTACCACATGTATTCAAATGGAGTATGCTATATATAATCTAAATATATTAGCAGGTTGTCTTATTTGTGCTGCTTCATAAGTACAAGACCATATAATGTGCAATATAGTCTGCTGCTAAAGTGCAGTAGTGTGTACATGCACAGTGCTTGAGTGTAACCTTTTAAGATCCAGTTGTAATTCTTTGGCAATCTTGATCATCTGGTTCGTCAGACATCTGAATGGTATGCTATTTTTAAAGTCTAATTCTTGAGGTCAGTTAGAGGTGTGAGACCTTCACACTCTTGGGTTAAAGTGACATTTTCTGTTACCATCAGAAGTTTCTATTTTTGGTGTTGCTATTTTCTCAGTGAAAAATTGAATTTGTGTCTCTAAATAAGAGTAGCACGAAAATGTAAGCTTGTACAGAGTGCGTGCATAGATGGGGGGGCAAATTGAAATAACTTTGCAGTTTTATGTTGCACACTCGATTGGTGACGATGCACCTGAGTGTGACTGAGCATGTAGCATACGTTAAAAGCACTAGCATTTCTACATTGCCTTTAATGTGATAAAACATCCAAAAACTCTGATTCAGCATCAAATTTACATAGTGAACTATTTAGCCAAATAATCAAAAGCTTGGCCCAAGGAAGTAAGTTTTTTTTTTAAAGAATGTCTTAAAGGAAGAGCAAAGGATAGATTGGCAGAAATGTTTGGCGAGGGAATTTGGGAGCGTATGGTCTAGGGAGCTGGAAGCAAAGCCACTAATAGTGAAGTGAATAAAACCTGATGTGCTCTAGATCAGAAGTGGAGACCACAAATCATGTAGGTTTGTGTAGCTGGTGCAAACGTGAGAAGGCGGTGAGGCCATGAAGGAATGTGAAAGCAGCAATGAAAAATTTTAAATTGCCAATTAGCTCATGGTGGTGATCTGCAATTTATTGTACAGTCTAGGAAAAGACATTTGAGTAAAGATTTGAGTTTGTGTTTCCAGAACTTTATTTTTGGCCAGAATTGATGAATAGAATAATAAATAGACGAGTTTATGTTTTAGCAATCTTCAGATGAATATTTTTCCAGGGGATTTAGCAAATCCTGCTATTATCTGTCACATAACTGATTACAAAAATGGAAAAACTTTTAAAAAACAATTTCTATGCTTTTCAATTTTGGTTCTACTGCCTTTGAAAATGAATGCAATCGCTATCATAGTGTATGCACTGTTAATATGTTAACCTGAAATTTTAAACAATTTGGTTCAGGACTACAAGGTTATATATTTTCAAAATGTTCTCAGGAGGGAATTCTCTGGTCGAAGAAAAAAATCAGTTTTCTACCCGTGGTGATGGGTCCGTAACTTGCCATTTTTCATTACATCTCCAAGTTTATGTATATCTCTTAGAAGGTCTGTCCCATATCTCTACCATTACTAGCCAGCAGCAGAATTGTAAAAGAGTTGTACATATTTGAAGCTGAGTTAATTTTTTTTACAAAAATTTTAGACCTGTTGCTGCTATCCAAAATCAAGATATTAATTTTACCAATCATGTACAATTGTTGGGATATTTTAAATTAAATGCTTAAGAGTGTGGCTATTGTTTAACTGTATTCATGAAACATTTTTTAATATATAGATACATTAGACTTTCTCGTTCTACTTTAATGTTCCACACAGTCAATTTAAAGAAAAAGGCCTTGAAAGTGAGAATGTCAAAATTGGTGAAAATGAAAGTGAAACTTAGTTAGTGAGCAGAAGCTGGAGATTATTCTCTCTGTGACGTGATTAGAGACTGAACAAAGCAGAGCACCGGGATGTAGAGGAAAACTGGAAGGAGAAAGTGAACTGAAATGGAAAATAACAGCAATGCCAATTGAAAAGATATTAAAGTTTTAAAAATGCAAAATATAAAGCAACATATTTAATAATACTTTCAACTAGAAAGGGTGCAATGTGTCAATGGCATATAAAGTTGTTATAGTTTGGCTAATATCTATATTGTCCGCTTTGCACCAGACAGGCAATTTGTCATGTTTGTGTCAGTTAAGTTTCTTGCTGTAAGTCATGTAAGGGGTTGGAATGAAGTGCCACAATTCAGCTCAAATTTTTCATCCCCTGTTCCTGTGGCTGGAAAACAAACTCGCAAGTGGTAGGTTTTAATTTCAATTTGTATATGGTTTGTAAAGTAAATACTTCAGATATTCGTAGATAGAAGTAACTATCTGCATGTATCAAAGTTAATTGCACTGAGCGTAGTAATCTTTAAACCTAAAGGATATTGCAAGATATTTCCGTTTGGGAGCAGGAACATGTTCGCTCTGAATATTATGATAACTGATAGAAAATCCAAAACAAGGAAAATACTGGAAACGCCACAAACCAGTCGGAAGAAATGTGTTTATGTTTAAGGTGTAGTAGGCCCTTTGCCTAAACATGAGGAATTGCTGATTTGACTGACTGTGCATCACAGCACTGGAATGGAGGCAGAGTTAGTGAAATTTGTCAGTAAATCTTGACCAGCTTCAGCACTTCATCATAGAATTCCTACAGTATGGAAGTAGGCCTATTGAGTCCACACCAGCTCTCAGAAGAGTATCCCAATCAGACCTACCGTGCCCCCAGTCCCTGTAACCCTACATTCCCCATGGCTGACCCACCTAGTCTGCACATCCTTGGACAATATGGGCAATTTAGCATGGCCGATCCATCTAACCTGCACATCTTTGGTCTGTGGGAGGAAGCCGGAGCACCCAGAGGAAACCCGTGCAAATTCCACACAGACGGTCACCCGACGGTGGAATCAAACCTGGGACCTTGGTGCTGTGAGGCAGAAGTGCTAGCCACTGTGCTGCCCCTTGCGGGATCACTGTTCAGATCAGACTCCAACATGATTTTGCTGTTCAGATATTTATTGATCTATGTTATATAGGACTGTAACAGCGTGGAATATACATAAAGATGAAAATGAGTGACAGCTTTATGGGGTACATTGGGAACCTTTTCATAAAATAAATTTTCCATTGACTCATGCTATAGTTGATAACTACAAAAAGACAGATAATCATTCCAGGTGATGCTACCTGACCTGCTGTGTTCCTCCAGCTCCACACTGTTGTCTCTGACTTCAGCATCTGCAGTTTTTGTAATCTCTTGTGATTTAT